ACTCTTAATTTTTAACCAAATTTATCATGGACAATAATCAAGTAATTGTTCAAGAATATTATTCTATTTATTATGTTTATCTAGTAGTAGAGTCAGAAATTCATAAATGCCTAAATTTTATTTTTAAAATTATTTTTAATTTTATTTTTACTTTAAAATTAATTCTCTTAATTTATTAAAAATATAAAATTATTTTTTTACATGCAAATGATTTATAGGACTCAATTTTTTTTAACAAAAACTGGGTCTTAAAATATTAAAATTAATATTAAAATATATTTTAAATATTATTTTGAGATATTTTATTAATTAAAAATAATAAAAATATGAAATATAACTATTTTAATTTTTTTAAAAAAATAACTACATTAAAACACTTATATATATATTATTTTGGTATAAAATGATATAAAATTTGAAAAATTAATTAATATTTATCATATTTTATATATTTTTTTATTCGGGTATTCGGGCGGCCCGAATAGGCCTGAAGAATAAAAAAATAATATTTTTTTTGGCTTGGCCCTAAATTTTTTGGGTGGGTTCGGGCTTGCCCGTCGGGCTCGGCCCAAATTATAGGTATAAAAAATGTGTGTTTAATAAAGTTGATTATATCTATAAATTGTTTGAACCCTAGACTTATTATAAATTATTTATTGGGCTTCATCTACCGTAAGCCTAATGGTAATTGTTAACCTTGATGTTGTTTTATTTGAACATGTATATTTTTGAGAAAAATATTTATCTATAAAGGAAAAAAGGGGGGAGGTTTTTCTTTTGTAAAAAAACCTATGATAAAAAGTAGGTCTATTACAAAAATGCTATTTAGTGAGAGATGAATCTCTCCCTAAATTCATAACTAAAAAAAAGTTTGCTTAGTTTAGCAAGGGATTTGTATTCTCCCACTAATTAGCCGGAGAAGTTATCGGTTACTAAAATTTAGTAGAGACCATATCCTTTGCTAGCTTATCCAAACACTAATCATTTTAGTGAGGGATTGCTAAATTAGTAAGGAAATTGATTCCTCGCTGAATTTAACAAAGGATTGGATCTCTCTAACATGCACATATTTTTAAAAATGGTCACCTAATGCCACATTACCTTATCATCTCATGTTATATCACCTGGCACGTATATGTCAACCCATGACATATCACTTACCATGGGTGCGTTAGCTTATGCTATATCACGTATATATCAAATAATATATTAGAAAAAATATACATGTATAGTATATTTTATTTTCAAAATTGTTAATATGATAACAAAATTTATATTTACATCTATATGACTCCTTATAGTATATTTTTTAATAAAATATTGTTTTTGTTAAGAAACTGAATTTAAAATAAAACAAATATTAAACATCAAATAACTTTGTTATGAATATTTTAGTTAATTTTAAATTTTCTTTTTATTTTTTAAATGCAAGTAATTAAATATATGATTAAAATTAAATACAAAATTGACAATCCTTGTCAAAAGTCAATTTTTTGTACTAATTAGCTAGGGGATAAAATTACTTGCTAAATCCCTAACTAACACATCTAACATTTCAATAATTTTCTTATTTTTAGAGAGGCATAAAAATGCATCTCTATTTTTCTCGCTGATTATCTAATTTAAAAAGGGATTGACAATCCTCTACTATTTTTTATTAATTATCCTATTTTATAGATGAATTGATAGTCCCTTACTATTTTTGTTGATTAATTTTAAGTTAAGCTTGCACCCAAAACCTATAAGCTTGCACTTAAAACTTTCACCTTATATCTTGCACCTCAACCATATACCTTTGCATCCAAGACTTATAACCTTGCATCTCAAGCCTATAATCTTGTACCCAAAGCCTAAAACCTTACACAACAAGCTTGTTCACTTGCACGTTAAGGCTAATGACTCGTATCGTGTCTTTAATGCTAATGTGTCCATGTCAATTTTCATGACAAGTGCATTGCTTTTCATGAAATAACATGTGACAAAAAGATGGGTTGTCCTTTAGGTAATTAATTTCCAAGATATGCCAGTCGCACATCTTGAAAAAAGCTAAAACGAAATTGCCATATTATAATAAACATGAAACCTATAGATTTTTTTTCCACCTAGTCATTACTTTTTAGGATATGAAAATTGTGCATCATGAAAAATACTCAAACAAGCTAGTTATAATAGCTAGTGAGCAAGAAAGTTTCAAGAATTTTTTGCAACGTTTCATGTAAAGCATATTACATTGATAAATACAACCACGATTCAACAAGAGTGGTAGAACAACAAGCCAACATATGATTTTGGTGACACATGTGCCTAAATAAATTGATTTTGATACCCATAATTCAACAAGAGGGGTAGATGAATGTGTTCCTATAAGATTGATATCTTCTAAGCTAACGTGCCTATCATTAGATTGAGGTGAAAGGTTCAAGGTTATAGGATTTAGATGCAAGATTATAAGTTTGAGGTGTAAGTGTATAGGCTTGGGATGCAAGATTATAAGCTTAAGATATAATGTTATCGGCTTGGAGTGTAAAGTTATAGGATTAGGATGCAAACTTATAAGTTTAGGGTACAAGGCTAAGCTTGTGGTGCAAGGTGCAAGGTAATAAGTTTTGGATGCAAACTTATAGGCTTAGAACGTAAGGTTATAGGCATAGGGTGTGAGGGTGTAAAATGTAAGATGATAGGCTTTTGGTGCTAGCTTATAGACTCGAGGTGCAAGGTGATAGGCTTGAGATGCAGTCTTATAGTTTTGGGGTGTCATGTTATAAGCTCGAGGTGCAAGCATATAGGCTTGCAGATGCAATGGTATAGGCTTTAAATGCAAGGCTATGGACATAGGGACATTTTGGTCCATTCACGCAAATACCTGGTTCTTCAATTTGTCTTAGTCCCTGAACATAATTTGCCTTCCAAGGAGGTTTTAGCAATTCTCCCAAGAACCAATAATCTAAAAGCCTATCACGACTATTAGGATGTGCCAAATAATAAGTAATAACAAATGCTATTGTGGGACGGAGTTAATAAACTTCTGTCATGTTAAGAAGTGTTAGTTATAACCTTAAAATTGTAAAAAAAAAAAAATTCAAAGTTTACCATCCTCTTAATTGATAATGACCATAGTAAATTGTTAGGAATTCAAATGGCAATTAATAAATAAGGGGTAAAGTTGAAAAAATTATTGATTACTCTAATTTTGTCTTATATTTATGTTCCAAAAAATCTTCTGAAATTTATCTTATACTAAAAATTGGAGAAAGTAGATTTCAAATAGAATCGATGCTGGTTAAAAATGGTTGAGGGACATTTATTGGAAGGCTACGATCAATTAGAAAAGATATTACTCAATCATCTATCAATTGGCACCCAACTTGAAAATAAAATTGAACTTTTTAGTGATGGCTATTAATTTTAATTCTTTTTATAAATTATTTTTAATATGTTTTACTAGAACCATTAAAAAACTTAAATCTCATTAACTATGTTTTAAGATTTAATAAGTTTTTATCCCTACCTCTAATAAAAACAAAATGATTTATTTTTAATATTGGTTTGTATCATTTAACAAGGGTAAAAAAGTAAATATGAATATAAAAATAATGAATTGTATTATAAATTTGACCAAAATTAATCTTTTTTTTCTTTATTCTATAAATATAATTGAAGGAATAACCAGCCATGCCTGCATGTTACTGGGTTAATTGCTAAGATATTCCCTAAAATCTAACGGCATTACGTTGGACACTATGTTGCTTAAAGTACTCAATCCTCCGATTTAATCTTGGCTAATTACGTTTTAAATTTCTTATTAAAAATTTGTTACCATCCTGCAATTTATTTGTAGCTAGCCAGTCAAGTGTTAACTACCCTCCAGCCCTTGTTTTAATATGTTTTCATCTTGTTTAGTCACAATACATGCTCCTTCATGTGGATTTTTGAGTTCTGAACGATTGCGTTCTCTTGGCATGAAACCATGAAGTAAGTCACAATTTAATCATGATAGGATCTATTTATAAAAATATTAATAAAATTGTTGGCAAAAAATAACAATAAAATTAATTGAGGTTAATGAACTGCTGTTTGTTATTGTGAATTAATTGATAAGAAAAATCCAACGTTCAAACTATTTTATTATGGTTTGACATGTATTTTTAAATTTTAGCTTAACACTGCCTTAAACATTGCATTTTTTTTTTTTTTGGTTTTACTATCCTAGTTTAACATTTCCCTATGGAAAAGGGAGATCTACACATAACCAACCAAACACAACACCATACACAACATCCCCAAGCATACCTAATAATATTTCCATAGATTTCTTTGGGATTTGATCGCGGGACCCTCGCACAAGGGGGTATAAATCATGCTAATCGAGTTACAAGTTCCTCGCAACCTTAAACATTTCATAGTGCCATGGCATGGCATTCCATAGTATATTGTTAAAATATTTCTCATGCCAAATACAGAAGGTAAAATACCATAATTTTTTCACTAAACTCTCAACTAGGTTTAGGTGTGAACACGGAGATCACATGAGCATGAAAAAAAAAAAAAAAAAGTGATGGCTGGTAGACAGCATCGCGTATTATTACACTGATATTCTTGATGTCGATCGATTTTGCCTCCTCACTCATAAAAATCTTTCTGCTCACTCTCTACATGTTCTCCCTCTCACTTGCCTTCTCGGTGGAGCATCGTGCATGTGCTGGCTCGGAAGCGAACTGTTAGGGACAGGCCAAAAAATGTGACGTTTACTGAACGAAACGCGGACAGGCGAGCCCAACAGGGTTCATGTACAGAGGATTGAGGAGGGGAAAGCAAAGCGCGGGCATCTTTTTCTTTCTTCTCTCCTTTTGTTTCCACCCTCTTCTAACGTTAGGGCGAGAGACACGCAAGGAGTGCAAGTGGCCCCACCACTTCGGGGTGGGCATACTGTTCCCACTTCCCACCACCACCATCCTACTTATTAAGCTCTCTCTCTCTCTCTCTCTCTCTCTCTCTCTCTCGTTTTTTTTTTTTTTTTTGGTGTGTAGTGTACCGATATCACCTCACAAATCTCAATCAGATTCACATCACCGTCATCATCACGACCGTTTCCGTCTTCCGAACCTATCCTCCCATCTGTCCTTCGAACTCCACAAACTTCCGACCCTCAATCGCTGCCGATCTTCGCTGCTTCCGACGCTAGTATTCCGACTTCGACGGCTGACTTCCATCTTCGGCCTCAGTTGTTCAGGTCGTTGTTGAATTTGAATTCCCCCTTGTTTTTCTTTCAAGATTTTACCGGATGAGACTTCTCTGTGCTTTAGCTTAGCTTGGATGTTGTAGTTGACTTTGGAGGGATTGGTGGTTACTTGGTCCTTGTTGGCTATGTGGGTTGCCCTCTATTGGAATCATGGAGGCGTGGGTGTACTGTTTCTCGACTTTTGGGGAAGAAGCGAGGCTGATTAAATCAAACTCTGCGCTGTTAATTTGATGCTGCATCTTAATTTCACAGTTTATATTACCTTGTTAAATTTTTGGATTCGTTGATAGACTGGGACAATTCGGTTGCGATTATGGAAGCTAGATCTGGCCCAGAAGCTTTTCACTTTTATGGAATTGGTTCATCGGATTTGCGGGGAGTGGGGAAGAGGTCTGTTGAATGGGATTTGAACAATTGGAAATGGGATGGAGATCTTTTTATAGCTAGCCCACTGACACCAGTACCAGAAGATAGCGTAGGCCGACAATTATTCCCTCTTGGGTCTGGGATCCCCATGGCCGGAGGGTCCTCCAACAGTTCTTCCTCTTGCTCGGATGAAGTAAATCTTGGGATTGACAAGCGGAAGAAGGAAGGAGAAAGGAAAAGGAGGGTTATTGTGGTGGAAGATGACAGCTTGAATGAGGGTGCAGGTGGCCTTAGCTTAAAGCTTGGGGGCCATGACTCTCCAATTGCTGATAGGGAGATGGCAAATTGGGAAGGAATGAATGGAAAGAAAACCAGATTAGCTGGAGGTGCTTCAAATCGAGCTGTCTGTCAGGTGGAGGACTGTGGCGCGGATCTGAGCAGTGCTAAGGATTATCATAGGCGCCATAAGGTTTGTGAGATGCACTCAAAGGCCAGTAGGGCACTTGTGGGGAATGTAATGCAGCGGTTCTGTCAGCAATGTAGTCGGTAAGTTCCCCTGGGTTGCTTTAAAATTTTAGGAGTATTTAATCAGTTTGATATTTGTTTTACTTATGTATAAAGCAAAGAGAATGGATGAAATATCAAATCACAGTTCTATAATTCGTAATTCGAGAACTATCTCTGAATGCTTCTGAGAATCAATACATAGATGGTTTAGCTATGCCAGGACATTGTTTCATGCTCCCATAAAATTTTGGAGTTTTTCTTAAAAAACAGAATCTATTATCAGCTGAAGTTGAATACTTCCTTTATGCAAGCATTCAAATCAGTGATAACTGATGTACATTCTTTTACTCCATTTGTAGGTTTCACATCCTTCAGGAGTTTGATGAAGGAAAGAGAAGTTGTCGAAGACGCTTGGCGGGTCACAATAAAAGGAGGAGGAAAACAAATAATGATGCTGTTCCTAATGGCAGTTCAATAAACGATGATCAGACAAGTAGTTACCTGTTGATTACATTGTTGAAGATACTTTCAAATATGCATTGTAAGTATTTCTTTAATGTATATCTTTACAACTACAGTAGTTTATTACTGTTTAGATCTGCTTGAGGCTTCTATTTGGTATCTTTGCTGCTTGCTTGTCTTGTTTGGAATGATGATGGTATGATTGTGGCTCAACCTATTTATCATTATAGATGTTATTGATCGTTCATAGCTGCAGAAAGGTAGTTTGGCCATTTGCTAATATGTTTTGAGAAAACTGTACTTTATCCTGGCAAACATAAACAAGGCGGAGGATATTCTGGACTTTTACTTGAATTGTTTTCTAAATAGTGTCAAATATTTCTTTGGAGGAACAATACTAGAGGAAATTTATTCATTAGGTTTCTTTTACTAGATTATTAATGTCTGATTCTTTATTAATTGAAGAAAATGTTGAGGATGAAACTTGGGCCCTCAGCGTTAATAACGTCAAATAAATTTGCTTTCTGATAGTTTTTTAATACCTGTTTCTTAATTTAGTATTTCTGCTGTCCCAGTTTTTGGGGGTTAGATAATGACGTCTTTCATGAGCAGCTAGCAGGTCAAATCAGACCACGGATCAGGATCTGCTGTCTCATCTTCTAAAGAGCCTAGCTAGTCAAAATGGTGAACATGAAACCAAGAGCTTGTCTAACCTTTTGCGGGAACCAGAGAATTTGTTGAAAGAAGGAAGTTCTCCTGGGAAGTCGGATATGGTTTCTGCTTTATTCTCACATGGTTCTCAAGGCTCTCCAACTGTTATAAGACAACCGCAAACAATATCTATGAGTGAAATTCAACATCAAGGGATGCATGATGCTGGGGCTGCTGATCAACAGACTGTGTCTTCTACTAAACCTAGCATTACAAACAGTCCTCCAGTTTACTCAGAAGCCAGGGACAGTGTTGCTGGACAGGTCAAGATGAATAATTTTGATTTGAATGACATATATATTGACTCAGATGATGGCATAGAAGATATTGAAAGATTGCCTGTCTCTGCAAACATTGGGGCTAGTTCTCTTGATTATCAGTGGGCACAACAAGACTCTCATCAATCAAGCCCGCCTCAGACAAGTGGAAATTCAGATTCTGCATCTGCCCAGTCCCCTTCTAGTTCAAGTGGAGAAGCTCAGGTTTGTGCTTATCACAGAGCTTGTGGATTGGCTGGCTAGTGGCTATTGTACTTGTGCTTACACAGGCCCTTACATTTACCTGCATCTCATCACCATGATTTTGGTCATATGACTTTCTATACAGGTTGAGGATGTTCTGCCAAAATCAGTGCATAATATCTGTTGTATAGTACAGGAATATTTGCTTATTAATTTTTTTTTTGGTTGCTGGTTTACAATGCCTTACGATATCGGTGATATGCCAGTTAGCAATGAAATAATTCATCCAGTTATTCTCATCAACAGGCAACACAAATCAGTCCCCCTTGTTTCACTGAATTGAATGGTTTCCAAGGACGATCTGAGGAAAAGTGTTCATTTCAAAGTAAAGTTTACTTGAGGAAGGAACAATAGAAATGAATGTGACCTGTTTTTCAATTCATGACTCTTCAAAGTGTCTATGGCAATCGTTACCTCATAAATTAGCTTCTCTTAGTCTCTGGTGTACAGCTTGTGGTTTGAAACAGCATGCCTACATATGCCCTTTATATGGAAATAGCCACTTTGCACGAAGTCGAGCCCCTGTAGTTATGTCTTTGAGGATCATTTTGCACTTCAAATTTCAAACGTCATGCTACCTGATTATTTTACTGAATATTTTTGCCTTGCAATTTCTCACCTCCTTGATGAAATGTATGGACTTCCATCATTTTTTTAGTTCAACTCTCATCCCCCCTTAGTTGGATCAATAGCAAGCATAAGAATGATGAGTTGGTAGTTTGTTTGTGTCAAATATGTAAAATTAGGAAGTAGCTGCCACCTAAGTACCAAACAATTAAGCTGTTTGTTTTCACCATTTCAGAGCCGCACAGATCGAATTGTTTTGAAGCTCTTTGGTAAAGAACCAAATGATTTTCCTCTTGTACTTAGAGCACAGGTATTTAAGGTTCCCAAACGACCAAGTTTCGGTTCTTTGCATCTCTTTCCTTTGAACTTTAATCATGCTAATTGTTTGGAATTCCAGATTCTTGACTGGTTGTCCCACAGTCCTACTGACATTGAGAGCTACATACGGCCTGGATGTATTGTTTTGACTATTTATCTGCGTCAGACAGAGGCTGTATGGGAGGAGGTAATCTTTGCAGTTCTAAAAAATCTAGCATGTGTTTATGGGTGGTTTCTTCTGTTATTAGGTGGCACTTTAGACCTTACAAGACGTGGTTGCTTTCTTGCAGCTTTGCTATGATCTTACATCAAGTTTGAATAGGCTTATTGATGTCTCAGATGGTGACTTTTGGAGAACTGGATGGGTTTACACAAGAGTGCAGCATCAGATAGCCTTCATTTTCAATGGTCTCGACTCTTTGTTTGGTTGTTAGGGATCATGATACTGGGAATTGAATTTGATCTCTGTTTTCTATTAGGTCAATTAATTATTGTTTTGTCCAATCAAGCATATTAAGTTTTTGAAAGTTAAAAATGAACTTCGTTTTTTGACATGTTAATGTCTCACACCATTCTTTGCCACCTCTATCCTAGCATATTAAGTTGGCGGGCTTAGATTGAGAATTGATGCGCTGCTGATAGACTGCTGATGTTGCCTATGTTACTGTTTTAACTGCCATCTTTATATTCTTGCCTTAGAATTACATCAATCGGGAGAAGTATTTCTTTATACGACAGCCTATCTAACTGCAATTTTCCTTCTGCAGGTCAGGTTGTCATAGATAAATCCTTACCTTTAAGAAGTAAGAATTATGGTAAGATTGTGAGTGTTAGTCCGATTGCTGTACCAGCATTCAAAACAGCTCAATTTTCAGTCAAGGGTATGAATCTGATTCGGCCAGCCACTAGGTATATGAGCTTTTGATCTCTACAATGTAGATACTTTGTTCAATTTTGAATATGTTTGAGTTGTCTTCAGTAATATTTCCTTAAGTTCGATGCTTTTGTCCATGCATTTGTACTTTTGTTGGAATAGCATGTTATAGGGCCTTGAAACTCCTTTTTCAGGTTATTATGTGCTCTAGAAGGGAAATATGTGGTTTGTGAAGATGCTCAGGAGCCAACGGAGCAGTGCTCCAAAGAGCTTGATGAGCTCCAGTGCATCCAATTTTCATGTTCTGTTCCTGTGATGAATGGAAGAGGATTTATTGAGGTTCTTTCTCTTTGATCTCTCACATTTAAAGAAAACAAACTGTAGGAAATGTTGGCTAGTTGTTAATCAGTCAAGGGGATTGGCAAATTCCTCTGTTGCCTTAGTTTGTCTATTATTGGTGGATTTTTTGTTTTGCGTTCAGTTGTTGACATATTAATCAATAATAAGAGTTCAGTTGTGAAGATCTAACAACAATAATAGCCTTTAAGTTCTTATGCTCTTATTAAAAAGAACAGATGCTTTTTACGTTATGTTCAGTATGTGCATAAGAATGCTAAACTGCATGGCAAGTTTTATTTTGGAGAGAGAAAATGGCATCCAAGATTGGTGTTCTTAGCTGTATTCTTGATGCTACTGTCAATAGATGCATTTTCTTTGATAGTAGGAGCAAGGACATCCGTTGCCTTCCTTTCAGCTGGGAAGCAAGTCAGCATCATACATGTCTAGTGTATCAACGTGTCATATCTATAACAAATAAATGAACCAAATAATGTAAAACCTTGAAGTTTTAACTGCACTTCTAAATTCAAGTTAGTAAATGGATCTCAAGAGCCCCAAAATTTTAAATTTGTTGCCAAGTAGTTGGGAAGCTAGGGTTTTTTTTTTTCACCCTTTTACTTGATCCTGATGCCATGTTTTGCTTCTCTTAGCTGAGCTTTGTGTTTTCTACTGTTTCTTGAATTTGCCAGATTGAGGACCAGGGCTTGAGCAGCAGCTTTTTTCCTTTCATAGTCACAGAAGAGGATGTTTGCTCAGAAATTTGTGCACTTGAGCCTCTACTAGAATCAAGCAAAGCTGATTCTGATATTGGAGGATCTGGAAAATTTATGGCCACAAGTCAAGCCATGGATTTTATTCATGAAATGGGTTGGCTTCTCCATAGGAGCCAATTGAAATCTAGGATGGTTCATCTAAACTCTAATGTTGATCCTTTTCCATTAAAACGGTTCAAGCAGCTCATGGAGTACTCTATGGACCATGATTGGTGTGCGGTGGTGAAGAAACTATTGAACCTTTTACTTGATGGAACGGTGGATGCAGGGGATCACCCATCTCTATATTTGGCACTTTCAGAGATGGGTCTCCTCCATAAAGCTGTAAGGAGAAATAGCAGGCAGTTGGTGGAGTTGCTTTTGAGATATGTTCCCGGGAAAATTGCTGATGAACTAGGACCTGAAAACAAGTCACTAGCTGATGTTGGGAACCAGAGCTTCTTGTTTAGACCTGACATTGTTGGCCCTGCAGGCTTGACACCACTTCATATTGCAGCTGGGAAAGATGGTTCCGAGGATGTATTGGATGCTTTAACTAATGATCCTTGCATGGTAAGATTTCTTCCATCTTAAATTACATCATTGTGAGTATCATGCTCTTCAATGGGTGAGATTTTCATCAAGGATTTACTTCACATCTGGTCCAATGGAGTACCTGTTTTGCTGCTTTTATCTTCTTGTCCGACCTAATTTTTCTGAAATAATAGTAGGTGTTGTTTAAATGATCTATCTGTATGGTAAATCCAGTTCTTTCCCCTTCCCCGTTCCTGTAAAAGAGAATTAAAGATTAACGAGAGCATCAACATCGTTTCCGTGTTTATGCGTCAAGTTAGAAGGTTATAGTTTAGACATGATTAGACGGGGTTTCTATTCCAGGTAGGAATTGAAGCATGGAAGAGTGCTCGTGACAGCACAGGATTTACGCCTGAAGATTATGCACGCTTACGTGGTCATTATGCATACATTCACTTGCTTCAGAAGAAAATCAACAAGAGACAAGCAGCAGCAGCATCTCACGTGTTGGTAGATATCCCCGGCAATCTGAATGATTCTAGCATGAATCAGAAGCAAACTGAGTCTTCCACTAGCTTGGAGATCGGAAAGGCAGAAGGAAGCCGTGTGCAAGGGCATTGCAAACTTTGCGACCATAAATTGTCTTATAGGACTGCAGTTGGAAGGTCTTTAGTGTACAAACCTGCCATGCTCTCAATGGTGGCCGTAGCAGCAGTGTGTGTCTGCGTGGCCCTTCTGTTCAAAAGCTCACCTGAAGTTCTGTACGTGTTCCAACCCTTCAGGTGGGAATCGCTGGATTTCGGAACAAGCTGAGGTTCATTAACTTTGTAATTTTTACATGATGTATTAGGACGTGTTCATCAACTGTATGAATCTGATTTCCTTTAGGAATTGTGCTTTGTATTGGCTAAATCGTGCATTGTTATTTACATTAATATTATGACCCGTCAATGTACTCGAGCAATGTATGTCGATGTTGCATTTCTTATGAATCTCTGTTTAGTATCATTCTTTTTCGGACGGATTGCATTCCCTGTGTGGGAAACTACAATCTTGACCGTTGTTTCGAATTTTTATGTTACTATAATTTTTTAAACCGATCTGTTTTTCGAAATGCATGTTGAGATTTTTTGGATGAAAATTTCTGTTTCTGTGACGTGATTCAATACGTCATGGTTTTTTTTTTTTTTTTAAAAAAAAGAAGTCTTTACATCATGGTGTGTGATGTCAAATTAAGAGTTATATGTTTTAAAAATCAAATCAGATACATAATTTAACTGGGTGACCATCTGTCGAATCAGTATGTAATAATTAAATATGAATTAAATAAAAAATAAAATTTAATACATTGTATATACTATATATGTAAGGAATAAATTTAACATATATCTATTTCTTAATAAAATAATGTTACATAACTATAAGTCAATAATATCATAAACTTTAACCTTATTATTTTTGAAACAATTAATTGACATTTTATTAATTAAGATTAGCAGGTAAAGGGGTGCCAGATGCATATATCAATTCAATTCGATCATACTTCGAAAAAAGAACATATTTATTTATTCATTTTAATTAAAAACATAAAATTAAAAAAACCCCACGTGTACGTCAGATGGCTTTTTTTCTCTGACAAAGATGAAAAGTATTTGTCAAATCCAAACCCAACTTTTCATTTCATGCTCTCTTTCATTACTGCTTACTTAAGGCTAATTCCTATCTTCCTTTCCATCTTCCGGCTCGCTGTCATCACGGTCCTGCGAGTACCGGTTGGGTTTCAGCCTCTCAGCTTTTCTGCAAGCACTCGCTAGATTCGTCCATTAACTCTTGAGGACTCGAGCTTTCTTCGTTCACCAAACAGTTCATGATATTTATTCTCCGTTTTTTTTTTTAGTTTGTCCTCGTCTATACTATTATTTCCTCCATCTTTCCCGTTTGCTTTCTTTTTTTCATTTTCAGTTTTCCTTCTCCTTGCTCTTGACGTTCTTCTTTTTTGGACGACCGGTTCTCTCCAAATCGTTCCGGTTTCCAGTTTAAATCCGGCTTCCGGCTCAAAAGCCGGTTCTGGGCTGCTCAAACCGGCACAACCCCTTAGACGGTCTGGTCCGGCTTCCAAGACGCTAATTAAATATAAAGACCTTTGATCATTGTATTAAACGATTATTAAACCGACTGAAACAGTGGGTAAGGGGTCAATCGTTTAAGGGTAAATGGGCAAAAATATTTATAAAATAGTCAGCTATGAGCACCCAATATTTTAAAGTGATGAAAAGGATAAAAATACTCATAATATTACATGAATGGATACAAAAGTAATCAGATCGTTAACTTTAACCTAACACAGTGTTAACTTTGATAGTTAAATGCTGACTGTACATGTCACATGTTAGTCTTTGCTAACGTGGACTAAAAAAGGGACAAAAATATCCACAAAATCATTAGCTAGGGGCAAAAATACCCATAACATTACCAGAGTTGGTGTAAAAGTAATTAATCCATTCAATCCCTTAAATATTGACTGTTTAGCTAACATTTAAGAAAAAGTTAACTATTTTTTTCACTGATGCAGATAAAAAATATTCTTAGATGAAATTCTCTAAAAGTTAATTAGTTATTGTATGAATATCATGTGAACAAATGTCATTTTAACTAAATATCAAATTAAATTGCTTGTTTTTTTGCAACAGTGGGAAAAATCATTTAAAAATTTTAAATTTATTGTGAATGCAATTACTTAAGGTTGTAACAATATTCTTAAGATATATGTGTTCAGTCTCGATCTTTAATTTTGAACAACCTATTTTACTATGATAAATTTCAGGTTTTACAGGCAAAAAAAATGAGTGGAGAGGGAGAAAGGAAGGGGACGAGATGCATGGTGATGAAAAGAAATTAATATAGCATTGATTTTGATGGATTGGTCACTATTGCATCTATTAAAGTAATATTATAGGTACTTATACAATGATCGATCAACATCTGTAGAAATTCACCTTGGAATATTTTTTTGTTTACATCAGCAAAAAAATAGTCAACTACTTATATGTCAGCTAAACAGTCAACATTTAAGGAATTGAATAGATTGATCACTTTTGCACCAACTTTGATAATGTTATAGATATTTTTGCCCTTAGCCAATGATTTTATGGGTATTTTTATCCCTTTTTTAATCCACGTCAGCAAAGACTAACACGTGGCATGCACAGTTAACATTTAATGACCAAAGTTAGCAGCGTTAGGTCAAAATTAACGATTTGATTACTTTTGCATCTATTCATGTAACGTTATGAATATTTTTACACTTTTTATCACTTTAGAATATTGGGTGCCCGTGACTGATTATTTTGTAAATATTTTTGCCCCTTTACCCATCATGTAATTGGAATTGAATCAAAATCAGATTTATCATAATAAAATAATATAATTTAAATAAAAATACATTAATTCTTAATACATTTAACCATATTTAAGACTTAATATCTTATATAATATAAAATAATAATTCAAGTGATAATAATATTACGTAAAAAATATAATAGTAAAACATTTTCTTAAAAAGTAATAAGAATAAAATTTTCAAAATTTAAATATAAAATATAATTAAAATGAGATATAAATAATCATTTAAAATTAAAAAAATCAATATCTAATATAAAATAATACAATACGTAAAGCCGTAAGTATATGTATAGTTTTAAATTATAAAAATAAAATTAAATATAATTTTAAAATAAAATAACTATGAACACTGTTTTCAACAATTGAATTTTAACATTGTTCGAAAAGATGTGAAGCAGACAAATAGCAGTAAAAAATGTCAGTATGTATCATTATTTATTTTAAGTGAAAATTTAAAAAAAAAATCCCTTCCTCTCTCTCTTTTAAAACGTTTGTCACGCCACACCCGCTTTAGTTTTTATGTTTCACTCTTTCCTCTTCTAGCTGTTCCGCATTTTATATTTATGTTTTCAAATTTGCTTCGTGCTGTTTTTCTATCCTTGATTCATCGACTTATAGTTATTTGTCATTTATATTTGTTCTACATCTACTCAATCTTTTGCTGTTTAGATTTGCTCGTCATTTATACCTGGAGAGGAGCAACATATCTTCGCCGCCAGCTTCTTTTTCACCACTGCTCTTCTTCTTCTTCTTTTTCCAGCGTCGTTTTGGAGCTTTTGGAAGGAGGAAAAAGTGACATGTTTCAACGCACCCAACTCATGGGGTTGAACGGATTACTGTGAGTTTTTTTCGAGTCATTCGAGTTAATTCGGGTTGAGCTTCGTTTGATCTATGCAACAAACTAGACCGAACATGTAGCCGATTTATCCGGTCGTCGATCAACTGGTCTGGTCTGATTTTTCAAATCATGGATCATTTCATGGCCCACCATCAAAATTTTTCATTTAAGAAGCCTAGCTTAGTATTAAAAAGTCCAATTTTTGGATTGTGATTTTTCATCTATACAATGAGCATTCCTGCAAATTATTCAATAAATTTTTTGACAAAAACATGGCTCATTTTTTACAAGGTATTGTTAATCTTTGTCTCAGTCTAAGCCACTCGACGACAACCTACCCAACTCCCAAAAAAAAAAAAAAAAAACTTAATGTCAACACATCTGCTATGTAATAATGAGATTGGAAAATGAAAATAATTTTTTTAAAATATATAAATAATAATTTAATTTTTTAAAATGTTATTTGAAATCTCTAATGACCTTTTTGTCATAAACAAATTTATATAAATTATTAAATTATTTTTATTAAAAATAAATGATTCATAAGTTTTATTTAAATATTTATATTTTTTTATATTTATAAAAAAATAACATTAAATAAAAAATTTAATATGTAAAGTTGCGATTTATTGTTGCATTGTTACAAATATAAAAAAAAATTAAATATTTAAATAAAATTTATAAATTATTTATTTTCAATAAAAATAATTTAATAATTTATATAAATTTATTAATGATAGAAAAATTTTTAAGAACTTCAAGAGAAATTATAACATTTTTATAATGTCTATTATCCATGTTCATGATAGATTTAACAAAGTTTTACATTGACTGTTGATGGTCTAACACAACCCTCCTCCTTTAGTCGGACTTGGGACCGGCTATAAACAAGAGAAATTATAACATTTTAAGAGATTAAATTATTATTTATATATTTTAAAAAAAATTTTATTATCATTTCTACTAACGAGATGCAGGGATGTTTTATTCTTCTTCCTTAGAATCGCTTTTCTATAAAATATCTTATCTCTTAAAGAGCGTCTTATAATTCACATTTTTCAACAGTTTATCACCTCCACTGACACAATTAAGTCGGCCCCTCTTGGTTGAAGAGCAAACAAAGCAACAAACCAAGGCCATATGTGAGAAAAAAGATGTTCATATATTTATATTTTGCGAAGTGGCTAATATTTAAAACTACGAGATCTTTTTAGAAGTTGACTAATACTCCTTCAATCTTTTATATAAATCACTTTTTAAAATAATTTTATAATTTCAAATTTAAATCTCTTTACAAGAGTTTTTGTAGCATTAATTATAACATGTTCTAATTAGAAGAAGCCCTTATATTGAATTTTACCTCAAACGGGGGTTGTTTTTAAGATGAGAATACCACTGCTCAATTAAAAACTGCCCTGGCCATCTCCGAAGGCCCAAATTCTAATCTTTTTGGGCCGTTGAGTCTTGTATTGAACTTCAATTAGAACGTCTTTTCACTGCGTTTTCTATGAAGTATTATATGGATGGATTTGCCCTCAATTTCCACCACCATCAATTAGGACAAAATTCCGAGACGTGTTCAGTGTTCCTATGTTTAGCTTGTGAAGAGTATCCTACCTTAGAATATGACTTGCATGCATTCCCTTTGGTCTTTGCCATTTTGTAACAGATAAAAAATTACTTTTTCCAGGAATCCGAACCCTAAACGTTGGGTCCAAAGGTGTTAGCAATGCTACTCTAGCTAGCCATTACATTTAGCATTTACCGAGAATGCTGCAGCTGTTTTTTTCCCTTCAATATTTATTTTCCTCCCCACAATTTGTCAATTTCAACAGCCATCAATGGGGACAAAACTCCCATGCATATTCTCGAAACGTAATGCAAATTTAATGGGATTTTTGCAGTAAAGACAGTTTTTCTCTCACCATTGCCATTGCCACCAAACGGGACAAAATTCTGATACGCGTTCATTGGGACACTGGTAACGGTACATATATGACAAGAATGGGATCGCGAGAGGGGAAAAAGGAACAAAAAAGAGAACATATTAAGTCTTAACGGATAGATGGGTTGGGCACATCAGCTATTGCATTAAACCTGTGGATGGCGAAGCAGAAACCACAACAAGCGAATTATTCGTCCACAAACTAGTTAAGGGTAGGCTTACTATTCGTAGCTCTTCAAGCTTGAGGCTTTTCCCACTTGAGTGGCTTCACAACTTCCCAAGTGAAGTCTGGTTCTTCCCTTCCAAAGTGTCCATAAGCAGCTGTCTTGAGAAACCTATGGCCACCCCTCTTGAGGTCCAAGTTAATGGTGATCATCCCTGGCCTAAAGTCAAAATTCTCCTTCACGAGTTGAAGAATCTCCCTCTCAGGAATCTTTCCAGTTCCATATGTATCAATAAAAACTGATAATGGCTCAGGCACACCAATAGCATAAGAAACTTGCACAAGGCACCTACGGGCAAGCCCATTTGCCACAACACTCTTTGCTGCCTGCCTGGCCACATAAGCGCCACTTCTGTCAACCTTCGTGGGGTCCTTCCCAGAGAAAGCCCCACCACCATGGGCACCCCAACCACCATAAGTATCAATGATAATCTTTCTTCCAGTGAGACCAGCATCCCCATGAGGTCCTCCAATGACAAAGCGGCCAGAAGGATTAAGATGGAAGATAGTCTTATCATCTAGATACTTCTCAGGGACTACAGGCTTGATAACATGCTCCTTGAGATCAGCAGCAATTTGTTCGTTGTTGACAGTCTCATCGTGCTGGGTGGAAATGAGGACAGTGTGAACGCGAACGGGAACCATGGCACCATTGTCATTGTAGTACTCAACAGTTACTTGTGTCTTACCATCTGGTCTCAGCCAAGCGCACGTACCATTCTTCCTAGCCTCGGTAAGGCGTGCTCCGAGCTTGGTTGCTAGGACGTGGCTCAGTGGCATGTATTCAGGAGTTTCATCGGTGGCATACCCAAACATGTGACCCTGGTCACCAGCACCAACCTCCTCTGGGCGCTTGGTAAAGTGGCCATGAACGCCCTGGGCAATATCAGGGCTCTGCTGCTCAATGTTCACCAAAACCTTGCATTTGTCGGCGTCAAGACCAACCTCATCAGAGACAAATCCAATGTTGCGGCATGTGTCCCGAACAATCTTCTCATAGTCTACGTTGGCCTTGGTTGTAATCTCTCCAAAGACCATGACCATGTTAGTTTTGGTGCAAGTTTCACAGGCAACCTTGCTGTCGGGGTCCTGTTCAAGGCAGGCATCAAGCACTGCATCAGAGACTTGGTCGCACAACTTGTCAGGGTGACCCTCATTGACAGATTCAGAAGTGAACAGAAAGGTCTCCATTACTCAAGCTATACAAACAAAAGCAAACAAAATATTAGATTGGAACTAAAAAGCCCAGAAAACTTGAATACCAAAAGCAGAAAAATACACGGGCTGCTTTGGAAAAACTGAAAAAGCAAAGCAGCTCATGCGAGTATAGAAGATAAATGAAACCTGAGATAAATGCAGAAATAATTCCATATATGACAATTGAAGCAACAAAACGGTATTGCTAAAAATAGTTTATCCTTTCTTTTTAGAAGTTCTTCTCCCGACCAACGCAAAAAAAGAAAAAGGTAAAGATCCCTCGCGCACGCACTTTTAGAATAGATTCTGCAACTTCTGTTAAACATCAAACTAGGAAATACTCTGGGAATTAAATCGTATCCTTCGTTGCGAATGAACAAGCTAACGAGTTACATTTCTGATTTCTAGTAGGTAGACTGATAAAGGAATGAAATGAAAAAAAAATTCCAGAAAAGACAGTTCGCTCCCTAGACTTAGTGCAGGGCAGCGGGAGAAACGTAGATCACAATGAAATTATGAACATCAACAGAAACGATACTGCTGCCGCTAAAGTTCGGTAAACAATAAATGTAAATCCATCAGAATATCAGACCTGACAACGGTAGAATACAACAAAACCGAGAAGGAAAACCAAAAACCGAATCGGTGGAAAAAACGGTTTGAAAGGATTTTTTCAGGAAGAGAATCATATTAGATCAATCACAAAAAAGCCCTAATCAAGCGTCGAAGAAATCCAAAGCACGATGGCCATCAGATAATTGGCAAAGGGCACTCCATAATGCAAAAGACAGGAGATATAGCAAGGTGAACTTTAACAAGTATTAGGTCTATCCTAGAAAGAAACACGCAGATCTCTAGCTATGATTGTCTGCAGGGGACAAAAACGATGACCATATACTCCTTTAAAGCCATAAACATCGGTTAACGAGCCCAACAGTTAAAAGAAGACATCGAAAATGGATGCAAGCGAAGGCATGAGGAGGACAATTAAAAAGAGAAATAACCTGGAGCGAGTAGAGCACCAAACAATAGGTCTAGAACGAAGATTCGGTTTGACGCTCGCTCGAACCGGCTCAGAGTGATTACTACGATTGACCGGGGAAGAAGGAAGGACGCAGTATCTCAACCAGAGTCGCGCAATTTATACTAGCCCATGGCGCTAATGACCGGGTACCGGAACGAGCGGTGGTAGATTCTTTTTAAAAAAGCAAGAGGTGCATAGCCGTTGGATTGGAAGGCCATAGGAAAGGGAGAGATTTGTCGAGGTTGGTGAGGTGAGTGATGTTAATTACGACCTGAGATCGCCGGTTGTCCACCAACCCTCGCCTCGCACTGTAATTAGTTGGTGAGGGGAGAGACGTCAGTCATCACGCCCAAATCACAATCTACAGTTGCAAGAGAATTTTTAAACAAAAATTAAATTCAGCAGAATTAGCTAGATTAGGTTTTGAGGGAATGCATGTTGTAACATGTGAAAAAATTTAATCTGCTAAATAAATGAGATTAATTATGCAAATTAATGTAATTGTAGAGAACTAACAAACGTTTTGAGTTTTGATTTTAGCTTTAGTATTGAGTTTGAAGCAAAGTTAGATCACTTGAATGTCAAAAAGTGAAAAAAAAAAATGAGAAATGGCTTTTGCCACATGTCACGGTCCGTGCATGGCATGCTGCGCACGAGCTAATAGAAGGCGAGAGTACCCTCTTTATACCACATGCTATGATGCATGTCATAGACAGGCTTATCCCTTATTAGTTGCCTTTGTGAGCCATGGCGGACATTTCTCATGTTGTGACATATGACACAAAGAACCCTTCTTCAGTTCTTTCACATATTTTAATACTCGAATGATCCGACTTCACTTAAACTCGCACTTGGAATTGAAATCATAATCAAACGCACTTTTTAAACTCATCTGATCACATATCTCATTTTATTTACTTAATTACTCTTTTTAAATTAGCTTAACCTTAATTAATTTGTTTAGAGTGTTACATCATCGCCACAAGTGTGGTTGGAATATCAAGGCCAGTATAATCTATGGATATTTTGTTATGACACGTAAATTAATTAAGATACATGACTTGGGTTATTTATCATGATTATTGTTTGATTTAAAAAAAATTTCATTGTTTGATACTCTCTTTGTTAAAAAATAAAAAATACTTTTAACTTAATCTCATCTCTCAATAAAATAATTACTTATTTTTAAATTAATTATATTTTTTTATATTTATTTCTATAAATGTCATAAAATAAATATAAAATAATTTATTTAATAAGAACATTTTTAAAAACAAAGATAATAAAAATATCTTATATTTTTTAATATTTAATTTTTTAAAAAATATTTTATATTTTTAAATGACGGGATTAAGATATTTTTTATTTGATTGGCAAGTCACTTTTTAAACAGTGGAATCATCACACATTGGTTTAAAACGCGGTATGAAGGTTGGTGGCTGGCCGGCCATGGCAACTTGGCAATGCCTAAAAGTGTGTCAAACCAGCTGAAATCGCAGTCATCTCACCGCAGATCCAGTGCTTTTTATTAAAAAAAAAAAGATAAAAGCTCCAAATAATATTCATACTGTCAGTATTCATTTTTTTTTTTTTAAATTTTGGGCCAACATTCTATCAGTATTCATTATATCTACACCACTGGCATCCCTGTGTTAACGTCTTCCTGGGTGGGTACCTCGCTTATTACCCATGCATCATGCAGGGTAGAAACAACAAATATTCAATTTTTTTATATAAATATCCAGACTTGTCGTAAGGTTTATACTTTAGATTGATTGACAGATTAACATACAATAGTCAAACAATTTTTTATATTGACATATATGTCAGCATTCGACGGGCCAACAGCTAATGTAATAGTGATATGGAGACAGAAGAAATTCTTACAAGGACAGTATAGCACGTGGGCTGCCAAATAAGTAGAGGCAGTTGTCAATGCTTTGCCAGTTTGCCCTTTGGAGACGAGATTATTGTGCTTCAGATTTATTTTTGTTTATTATTCTTAATAAGAAAGGGGAAAAAGGAGAGCATCAAGAAATTAAAATCTGAAAAAGAAGAAAAAGAAAAAGGAAGATAATTTGGGTATATCTCACGCCGGAGCCGATGCGTCGTTGTCAGTGAATTCCAAAAAGATAGGGAAGCAGACAAGTACCGGGCCCACGCGGTTGAGGGGATCCGGTACGGTTTTTCTTGCCCAGTACTTCAGCCATCCAGATGAGGGTGCAAAAATATTTTGATAACCCAGATACATTATATTTTTTACGACCAGTTCAAAAAATATATAATATTTAAATAATATTAAATATAAATTAATTTTAATATTAATGATAGTAAAAAATAAATATATATTATGTTATAAAAATAAAATTAATTTAAAAAATATTATGTAAGATTTTATTTAAATTACCTCAAATATTTTAATTAAATAAATTATAAATAATGTCAAGTATTTCTCTCTTCTTTCTGATTTTCCCTCCCCACACCCCAAAGAAAAACCCATCGCAATTATATTTATTAGTTTCATAAAAATCAAATCGAACATTTTAAAATATTTAAAATAAAATTTTATTGACATCATTCACCAAGTGTATTTGAAAATATAAAATAATATTTTTTTAAAATTATATAAATATGCGTGTACTTAATAGAGGGGAGGGGAGATATTTAATGTTATTTTTTTCGATTTAGGAAGGGAGGGGAGGTTACTTAATAATAAGTTGACCATTATATTCCTATCAATTTTAAATTAATTTTTAATAAAAATAGTTATATTAAAATTTATTTATCACAATTTTAAAAATTTCAAACCTTTCGCCTTAGAATTTCATTAAAACTTGGTAATGTATATCCGTGAGATATGCAGTTTTTTTTTAAAAAAAAAAAAAGAGGGAGGTGCAAAATTGAAGGGTAATGCTCTTGACTTGCAACCCAGGCTTTTGTGCACCAAAAAAAAAAAGGCTTTAAAAACCATCTCCATCTGTTCAGTGCAGTGCTCCAAGATTGATTTTCTTTTTTTCTTTTTTTCTAAGAAATATATTTGATGAATGAGCATCAAGAAATCCAAAAAAAAAACCAAAAAAAGAGCAATAAAAAAACACAACACACTGACATAAAACCATATAGCAGGGAAGGTCAATATTCTTATAAAAAAAAAGCTGAAGAATTACATTTAAATAAAAAAATAATGTTGACAAGTGTAATTTAGTCATGGTAAATAACATGCAGCCCTCATCTCCAAAAACCCTCGAATTGGAGGGTAAGGCCCCTCATCTTATTTACTCAAACCAAGTAAACAACTCTTGTTCTTCCCTCTCTAATTTTTATGTTTTTGATTGTAGTGGTTTTGGAATTCATGTTTGGAGTGTTGCGCCCCTTAAGGCTTTTGTCAAACATATCATAGAAGTAGATTCTTAATGTAAGTAATAGATCAAACGATTGCATGGGTTTTTAAGGTCATTTCCCACAATTTTCTTAAAAGGTTAAAGATGGACAAGAAATTTAAGCTTATGTGACTTGATTGTGTTACTTGGTAAGCAGCTAAAGCTAGTACTTTAGTACTCGAAGGGGGAAGCTAAGTAAAATAGCATAAGAAGCCTAAGTTGTAGCAACAAAGAGAATTGCATAAGGTGAACTTGATAAAGCTAGATCAATTATTTGAGTATTGTGTTGGACAAATTGATTTGCAAAGTGTCAAGAAAGACACCCTTAGTTACACGCTCATTGCCTGCTAATTAGGAAAAGATAATGGCTTGCTCTTTCAAATTTGAATCTTGGTATTAGAAGAAGCAAATAACTATCAATGCTACCAAGCATCGCAAGGACACCTCATCATGGGAGAGTGGAGGGAGTAAGTGCTTCATTTTATGTGGAGAGTGTGGAAAGTGAGAGAGATTGGGTTGCCAAGCCTCTAAAACACAGCATTCCACTTAGTTCTTGTGGGGCTTATTAGCTATTAGGCTTGCATTCTTATCAATTTGGATTGGACTTTGACAATTGCTCCTTTTAATCTCAATACATCAATTTTTGTTAAAATAATACCAGATACCAAATAGGGGGAGGGGATAATTCCTCTCCCTTCCCCTACCTTTCAAAACCTTCAAACCAAACACACTTTAATGGGATACACATTTTTAAACATACTAGTAGGATAATAGGATTGTGTGTGGCTTGATGAGGTGATGTGTTATGATGCTAGTGTGTTTCATGTCAATAGAGGCCTTCATGAATTATATAATTATATGATACACGTTTACCTACACAATCATTCAGAATCAGAATTCCATTTACTTGATTCTTTAGACACTTCAACCAATGAATTTAAAATTATAGCATGAGAGGGAAATAATAAAATATTATCCACCTTAAATTTAAATATCAACCCATGGAACCTCCCTCGTAAAAATACATCACCTTTATATGTCTACGGTGCATTCAATGGAAGAGCTCTAATTCACATGTAGTTGTTATTAGTAATTACTGTGGCATGTATTTCTTGTGTAAAGATGAGAAATAAATATATTTATTAATAAAAGTTAAAAAGGAAAAAGGAAAAGTGAGGGGTGGGGCCTAGGACTGCCCACCGAGCAATTTTTGTGTTGGGTTGTGGTAAATCTTTATTAACAATTTCTGTCTCATTGCTAGCTAGAAGAGGTACAATACAATGTAGAGTAATAACAGATCAAAGCCCTACTTGTTAAGTGTTTCCATATTACAGGTGTCACCTGTGAGTAGTGACAACTAACGACGCGCTAACGTGGCTTGCCATGACCATTTCGAGAAACTAAAACTAACATGACAAATTATCAATAAGCCACTTGCCATTCAGTTGTTTGGGTAGAACAATATGGAAGATTAAATTCACAAATGAATCACCAATTAGAATATAAATGATGTGCTATTTTGAATGTAAACAACAACTCTCTGTTTTTTTAAATAAAGAAAGAAGAGTTAAAAACCAACTTTATCCTTAAACTATTTTTCCATTAACATCTAATATTATTCTAATATGAGATGGTATAAAACTAATAAATTATGAATTAATTAAATCACAATGCCTAGCAATTATTATTTATTTTCCATTGACAAATATTTATTTAATATTGTGTGCTCATATGAATCTAACACAT